TACAAGTACAGTGAAACCTATCTAAACTGAACACCAGTACAGTGAAACCTGTCTAAACCAAACATCAGTAAAGTGAAACCTGTCTAAACCAAACACAAGTACAGTGAAATCTGTCTAATACAAAATGCCTATTAAACTAAAAATTGTAATCATTGATATACATGCAGTGAATTAACTGAGTATGCCACCTGATATAAATTTATACCCCTCCATTAGAGATTTACTTTAGCTGTAAATACATGGATTTACTGTCATGTGATGCTCATGTGTCATATAAATTCTTGTAACATTTGATGAAAGCAAACTGTTATCGATTCACACTATGGCTTTTAACAATACTTTCTGCTGTTTTTTTATTTTGTGGGAAATTATGTAACAATACTTGACAGGGTGAGCCTTATGTAAATTCTGTTTGTTTGTTTTTTCTGCACAATGTATAGTGGAATAATTGAAATGCTAGATTATATATTAAACCATCTAATGCATTATTAGAAAAAAGATTGGTTAAAGTTTCTTAAAATAAAAATAGAAACACTATAGAGTGTGTTTATTGACGTTAAGTTAAATACCAGAAAATGTTCAAAACGGGCGTTGCTATGCACTGAATGGCCATCCTTGTAAGACATATGCTTCATACTTTTAATACTCCCTAACACTTCATGCAATGAGCATGATTATAAGAGTAGAATTATTTGGTGCTGTGTAAATCATTAAAGTCATGTGCCATATTGTGGTAAATGCTTTCTATATCAATTAAGCACACATATATTCTCTGGGTTTTCATTTAGTTAAAATCCATGTTTTACAGTATATTATTCATAACCCTACAATCACAGCCTGGATTGTAGAGGATGGGTCATAGATTAAAATTCATTTAGATTGCACACATACAGAGTATCATAAAAGTCAGGCTATCATAATGTATTGATGCCTTAGGTTATATTTTACCATTTAGACAAATGATGTGCTACTGACGTTACACTAATGAGTTCCAATGTATATGATGGTTGCTGTAAGCATTTCTTTCATGTTTATATTCTTCTACAGAAGTAATATTATGTAAATTTCTGTTTAGGTTGACAGTGTCAGTAAACTTGATATTGCAGTTAAACACAGTACAATATGAACCAAAAGACTAGCTAGGGGACAGGTCTTCAAGTGTTAATATCTATAGATGTAGTAGATACTCATATCTAAAACTATGGCTCAGCACTTAACCTGTTAACCTGTGGATGGTTCAATTGGTACTGACTTCTTGTTTTCATAAGCTCAACTTAGAGACTAATTTTGAATTTTGAATTTGGATGCATTTTTGGGTTGATTTTGTAGCATTTTTTTTAAAAGAGACAATTATTGAACATTCCATGTTTTTGAATATTTACCACCTTCTTTTAAACAGCAGAATACAAAAAGTCGTATAGTGGAAATGCTCAAGGATTTAAATTTTGGCAAAAATTCTACAAAATATTTTCAAATTGCTTTATTAGAAAATAAGCATATGTATACATTATGCATACATGATAAAATATGATTGAATTACTGGTATAATAATTAATAGATGAAAAAAATATACAGAGATGAAAATATGAGAAGCATTCATGGTTTATCATTCATCTTATAATCTTGTCTATTTTTATCATTTTTAATGAATGTAATTATATAAGTGGATGCTTTTCTGCTGAAATTTCATCAGTATTTTCCCTGTGGGACAACAACACATTATAAGATGGTTAGGGGAAATATAAGATGATATTAAGAGTATATTGTAGTGCTGTCACTGTAAATAAACTAAAATAATAAGATAATGAATATCTTAACGATGTGTACGATTTATTTTGCATGCATATCATGAATCAAGAGAATTGTGTGAATAACTGTAAACATTTCACTGGGCTACTTGGAATCTGGAGTCACAGTATGTTTTGGGAATGTTTTCAAATTGTTAAAACCTTAAACTTTAAAATACAGTTTATATTGCTCCTAATCCTAATTTCTTAAGCTGAAATGTCAAAAATTTGTTTTCACTTGTGACTGATTGTTTGGATAATTGACAAAAATGGTTCGTCTACTTAAAATTAAATTTACTTGCTTGCTTGATAGCTGTAAATGGTTTTATGGATCTGAGTTGTTAGCCTGAAGCAAAATGTATCATGTGTTCTGAGAATTCAGGCATGAGTATAAGGTGTAATTTGAGAAAAGATATGTGACCAATTATACTCTAATGCATTAAGATTGATAATAAATTTTCTTTAATTTCCTTCGATTACTGCACATTTTATGGTTGAAATTACTGTGCATTCTGAGTAAAACTATTATAAATTGCTTATCAAATACTTTCTGAGTGCACAAATGTTATTGTCGCCTTCATTTCCTTGTGGCTGTCATCTTAAATATATCAGACTGCATTTATCTTGTATTCATGGTAACTGCTGTCTGGTCCGGGAAACTGCTGTCTGGAATGCCTGGTGGCTTGAATCATGATGTTTGTTTAGAATTACTGAGAGCGATACTATTCCTGGTTTGACAGTTACTGTACTCTGTGTATTAAAAGTGCATCTCCAATATAATACATATGTAACAAGCACGACTACATTATGCATATTGTTTTTCAACATGACACATTTACTCCTAATAGAACAAATATGGTATCTACAATTTCTGGTGAATTGTTTGAGTAATCTTTTGGTGACAGCTGTCTGAAGTCAGAATATAGTTGTCTATGTTAAGAGACTATTATCACCAGTCAATGTAACGTAACTTATCTTGCATGTGACTTTCTGTGAAAGGATATATGACAGATTACGTATATAAATGAAAGCATCTGACCTTTAACTGTCAATATTGACACATTTTAAATGAACTCTATTGATTTCAGATGTTCTGGTTGGTGCTTATGATTCTTCTCAGGCTGTCCTGCTTCGGTAAGTTTATTGATTTCACCTTTATTACATGCGCTGCATATTTGTGAGCAAATACAACTATAAAAACCGTACATCTCTCGCTGTATCATTGTTACTGTATACAGTGTGCGATAAAAGTTTAGTTTACAACGATCATAATTCGGTTACAGTCACATGTGTACCTAGCAAAGTGTTGATTTCATTAGAATAAATGCAATTTGAATGCCCAGCAGTGAACTCTCTGGAGACAACAAACAACAAACAACTAATACATTTGCATGGAAGTGCATTTTTATCAGCTTGGTTAAACATAAAAGCCTCTCACTCAATGTGTTTTACCTGCCTAAGGTGCTTAATCTTTACTTCTTACCTTGTCTGTATCATCGTACATGAAAGGCATAAATGAGGGGAAAATGTCTGTCCTTGTGCTTTTGTTGTTGTCATTGTTGACTCCATTGGAAAAGTTTTTTTTTGTGGATATTATATTACCCAGTTTGGGATCTTGCCCAATTTTGATTATGGTACATGTTCTATGAAGATATTTATTGAATTTCACTTAAAATTTTCTACGTGTGATTACAATGACTCAAACTGTTTTGCCGATTTGATGATTATTCTTTATATGAAGTGAATATGTGTGTCAATTGGATAAGTCTAGGAAACCGGTATATTATGAGTATCAATAAAAATATGACAACTGCAGTGCTTTCAAATCTGGCTAGTATTTTATTTTGCTTAAATATATTACTGTACTATTGGTAAATTTTCATGCTATATTATCAAGTTACATTGAGATTAATACAGTATATGTAGTATTAATTGTGAAACACATTGGCTATTTATTTTCTTAGATATGTTGCTGTACTATTGTTATTAAGAAACCTTTATAAAATATAAGTTATATTATTATATGAGGAACATTGAGATTAGTACAGTACATGTAGTATTATTTTGTAATTATGATGACTTTTTCTAGCCTGTATTTTCGGTGCAAAATGCTTAGATAATATATTATTGCATTGTTTCAGGACTTTTATACTCACTCGTGCCATGCAAAGAAAAGATATTGCATTGTTAGTCTGTTATCCATTCATACATTTGTTATTTAATTTAGGTTCTCAATGGAAAAGGTTGTAATAGTAATATGATGTTATTTTGTCTAAACATATTTGCTAATGATTATATAGCAACATTCCCAAAATACGCTCAATAAATCAACAAGATGTAATGTGTGATAACTAATCAACATAAACTATATTTAAATTAATCATTTTATTGTACTCGCAATTTTTTCACTTGTTTGCTGGAAATTCTGCATAAAAATGACAAATTAGCGTGATTATTTGTTGTAATATGGATTTATTATTACTGTTCAAACTAGTCCAATGATAGGTGTCAATATTTATCTTGTACATTACCTGAATATTTGGTTACTGTACTCTCCAACAAATTATGTGTACATGGTACCACTGTCATTGTGCAGTATACTTCACATTAAGTTCTTTTATTAGAGGGGGCATTCTTTCTGCAAAATATGTGATGTGTACTTTTTCAAAGCCTACTTCAAGGCCTTCCACTTTTGCCATGTTAACGCTGTAGTTACTACGGTGATTGCAATTAAAACATATTATCTGATCATTGGTATTGATTGATTTAGAATGTTTCCTGTTAAAAAAAAATCAATTTTCACCTGGCTTATATTGAATTACACCTACATCAATCAGCATTAAATACAGAAATACTGAAGTGCATGCAGAAGCATTTCATGTGAGAATAAGTTCTTTCTTTTTAGCTCCGCTGTTGACTTTGTTGAGCGAAGCTTATCATATGTGTGATTGTCCGTCGGTGTCCGTCGTCTGTGTCAACTTTTTACTTTTTCGACTTCGTCTTGAAAACTATAAGTCTGAATGCTTTGATACTTTGTGTATATCTACCTTGAGTAGACCTCTCTTAGATTTGTTCATTTTCTGATGATATCTGACATTTCAATTGACATGTGCATTGCTAACAAGGGAGCAATCTCAGCTGAGAGTCTGTTTGTTCATGTACTGGGCAAGCTATGAAATATTGAAAACCTTTATTATTTAGGAAAAACAACTTTATTAGCTTTTGACTTTCCAAAAAATGTTTGTTATATTTGATATCTGCTTTAATGGAGCTTATGGTAAGACTGTCATCATCTGTCTGGCATTACTTTTCCATCGTCATCTGTCCGGCATCACCTTATCTGTCCAGCATCACCTTATCTGTCCGGCATCTGTCCTGCATCACCTTATCTGTCCGGCATCACCTTATCTGTCGGGCATCTGTCCGGCATCACCTTATCTGTCCGGCATCTGTCCAGCATCACCTTATCTGTCGGGCATCTGTCCTGCATCACCTTATCTGTTGTCATCTGTCCTGCATCACCTTATCTGTCATCATCTGTCCGGCATCACCTTATCTGTCATCATCTGTCCGGCATCACCTTATCTGTCATCATCTGTCCGGCATCACCTTATCTGTCATCATCTGTCCGGCAGCACCTTATCTGACATCATCTGTCCGGCAACACCTTATCTGTCATCATCTGTCCGACATCACCTTGTCTGTCATCATCTGTCCGGCATCACCTTATCTGTCATCATCTGTCCGGCATCACCTTATCTGACATCATCTGTCCGGCATCACCTTATCTGTGTCTGTCCGACATCACCTTATCTGTCATCATCTGTCCGGCATCACCTTGTCATTTGTGACAAATTGATAAATTACTATACAAATTGTGTTCAGTTTGGATGTGTAACATGCTTTTAGGTTTAGATTTGTTACTTTTGTTACAATACCTGTGTTTTCTTTTTTTTTCAAATTATCTTTTTTGGTCAAAACAAATGTTTTTTTGACAAATATAAAGAAAAGAGAACAGGTGCATGGTTTAGACTGTTTTGTCCATTTAATTATACGTATACATGTTGATGATAAAAGTATAAAATGAATGAGAGAGATAAAAGGGATTTAAAGATGTTTCCAGTTTATAGAGTTCTTGTGTAGGCAGGTGTAGTGTTGTAGTAAATAGATCTTTTCACACTGTGGGATACTGACGAAAAGCTTTTACTATTACGTAAAAGAATGAACAGCTCTGTATAATCACACATGGACAGAGCAAGCATAAAATGTGTTTCCGGGGCTTTATCAATCTGCCACTTAGCGATATCATGCGTATATGTATATGTACCCTCTTGGTATAAAATTTAGTAGCACACAGATGAGTCAAAATAAGTTGTATATTTACATGGATGGAATTACAGTAACATTTCTGGTTTATTTGCACTTCTACTCAAGCAAATATGTTCTGGGAACTGCATGTCCAATAAAAGCTAAACATGTTAGATATAGGATAAAGTATGTCAAACTGACTTATTAACAAATTACAGTAAAGCAAATACATTTTATCATCATTTATGTCAAATGCATGCACTTCAATGCTATGTCAAATGTAATTCATCCCGACAAAACTCATACTGTAAAATATTTACGCTGAAAAAATGATTCAGTAAAAATAAAATCCAGTGAGTATACCTTTTTCCCCCATACATTACATTCATCAAAAAACAGTGAAAATAAATTCCATACAAAACACCCAAAAAGTATTTTCAGCAAAAATTAATTCCAGCTAAAATAAAGTATTCTACAGTAGAATGCTGTGTCAAAAGTAATTCATCTCTACAAAACTCATGAAAAATCTTAACCGTGTGTAGTGATATGCAGTAGTTATGAAATGTTGAATGACATCCAAGGCCTGGTAGCACATGAAATGAATGATAAATAGAGTGAACAGCTGTGAATCTTGTGGATGGATTAAGACTGCCTTAAAACAGCAAGTTGAACGTAAATCCTAACAATCACTAATCAAGTCAAGAAAATTAGATTGAACCTGTGAAATGTGCTTGACATAAAATGCTACACAAATTGATTCAGATTGTCGTTTTACTTTAAGATCTTTTCGTGACTGCACGATTTCAAAGTTGTGTCAATTTGATTATGTGAATCTCAATTCCTTAATAATATTTGAAGAGAGGAAATATGATTCCAGTTTTATGTTGATACAGGTGATTAGACTCAAATTGCCAGACATTGCTTGGAATACAGAAATGCAATAAAGAGTCTCCTATGCAGCTCTGCTAATATTTGAATGCTAGATTGGGTATTTCTTATTGCTATGACCTTTAGAGATTTTAGCATCACAATATGTACAAAGCAGCTTCTCTAAACTGAAACCTTCAGTAAATCTGTTCCAGTGAATAGGTCAATTGTTGATATGCTGATTTTTTGGAGCGATCAAAATATGCTTATTTCATCATACTGGTAAATGACCATCATCAAATGTGTATAGGACATTATTAAGTGTGGAAATATCAGAAAAATACTATAATTGCAGATGTATAGAACATTATTAAGTGTGGAAATATCAGAAAAATACTATAATTGCAGATGTATAGAACATTATTAATTATGGAAATATCAGAAAAATACTATAATTGCAGGTTTTAAATCCTGTGTGATGTTTTGACTCCACTGGAACACTTTGACTTTTGTTTGTTCTGTTTGATTTGACCTATAAAACAGGATCTTGCATTGAATGGAAAATGGTTTATTATAATGAGTGAAACTACTGAGATACACAAAGCTCTGATAATATTCACATTTTTAGCTTATCATACAAGTGATAGTCCATCGTTGGCGTCAACCTTTTACTTTTTCCACTGCTTCTTTAAAACTACAAGCCTGATTGCTTTGATACCTTGGGTAGACCTTTCATAGATTTGTTCATTTCATGATGATATCTTTTAAATTAATTCTCCAATTTTGATGAATATTTTTGTAATTTTTAGGAAAAAGTGATATTTTCGACTTCTTGTTGAAAACCGCAGGGACGATTGCTTTGATATTATGCATTATAGGTACTAAAAGTGGACCTCTCTCAGATTTGTTCATTTTGTGATATCTTCAATTTTCTAATTTTGATGATATTTTTGACTTCT